TTGAATCACATTTGTTATTATTTGCCTCACACCTTCAATAATTTCATTGATTTTCAGACTCTTTGAGAGAACAGGGCTAGATATTACGAAAAACTTATATAGTGACTCCTTTTCATTTGGATAGCACCTTCTTCTCCTAAAAGATCTATACCATAGTACACATTTAAACTATGAGAACATCACTACTTTAGAACACAAATTGAAACACTAGAACCTAATTTTTTTTTTTTTTTTTTTTATGAAACAGAAATTATATTTCTAGTCAAACTAATCAAGATTTCGTTTAATGTGTACGTTAATCTAACATATTGCATTGTGCCTCATAACTATTTTGCCCATCTAGGATGACAATTATTGTATATTTTTTCCTGTAATTATTAAATCAATTGACACTATCAACCTATAGCTTTTAAACTCAACAAGGTGAAGAACTTCATATAGATCAACTGATCATATTGGTGATTGATCTTCATAGTAACAATTAGAGTCGAAAGTCAAGAACTTCATTTTCATCTTTCCCTATGTCATTTCAACAATGGTATATCACCGTATGACTGTTATACTTGGTGCATGCAACACTCTGTAATAGTCATGTAGAGGTCAAACCATCAAACTATAAACATTAAGCAATCTCAACAACAATCAGATATTTATAGCCACCAAGGAAGCTTTCCTCAACTACGATATATAGCAAATTTACCCTCACGGAAAACTTAGTCCAGTAACTAAATGATTCACGGAAAACTTAGTCCAGTAACTAAATGATAGGAACTACAAATGCTCAAATACATTTCAAAGCGAAAGCATAATATAGAGAATGAAAAAAACCAAGTGACCAAAAGCAGATAACTACGTAAAATTCGTTGAAACTTCAAAGAGAATACTACATCTCGTTCATACAGGTTATTAGTAGAAACTTACAGCTCTTTCAGTTGTTCCTGGGGGACCATCAAGAATTTTAATGCGAGCTCTTGTCTCCTCGACTATTTTCTTAATGAACTCCCCTTTGCGTCCAATTATACTGCCAACCTTTTGCGCAGGAACCAGCATCCGGAAAACACTCTCTCCTGGCCATCCAGGCCACTTCTTCTCACCTCCACCAGACACAGCAGCATCTTCATGAGGCTCTTGGTTCTGTTCAGGTAATTGCGCCTCCTCCTCTTGTACTTCTACTGATAACTCTACTTGTTCCTGCGCCTGGAACTGAGCCAGTGCCTCTTCCTGCTCCTGTGCCTGGAACTGAGCCAGTGCCTCTTCCTGCTCCTGTGCCTGGAACTGTGCAAGTGCATCTTCCTGCTGCTGTGCCTGGAACTGTGCAAGTGCATCTTCTTGTTCTTGTGCAAATGTCACTCCATGTTCCTCCGTCAGCTCTGGAGCTGGGTCCAGAGCCGTAGCCTGGTCTTCTACCAGTGGCTGTGCATTCTCAATCTCATCATCGATTTCAGCCACGGTGACAGGTACTTCACCTCCATCAAGTTCCCCATAGAGTTTATCAGCTTCAGCCATAAATTGTCTGCATTATATCAAACATAAACCAAGAAAATTATGATAACAGAAACAAAAAATCACCATGAAAAATATGAACAAACCCAAATGAAGAAAAATACTCCGAATCGAAAACCTGTCTGGAAACCATGAATTAGTAAACATATTTCACAATACAAGAACAAAAACCCTTCCTTCAATAAATAAAAATAAAAAAACAGCCCTAAAGTAACAGAATCACAAAACAAAGAAAACCCAATGACGAACCAACATCGACAATTTGTATACAGAAATGCATCAAGCAAATACTACACTAAAACCATAGAAAATTGCAGAAATTTGAAAAGAAATACACACAAAACTATAAAATAAAATAAAAAAATCATGAAAAATTACATGGGTAGGGAAGAGAACTGGTGGTGGCAGCGCGAAACCTAGTAGTCTGAAACCGAAAGGGGCGAATCGCTGGAGAGGACGACGAGAGTTGGATTAGGCTTCCAAGGGGTTTGAGAGAGAGAGATTCAGAGTTGAAGAAAATAGAAAGACAGGGAGAGAGTGATTTATCTTGATTTGAGAGAGAGAGAGAGAGAAAGATGGGGTTTGGGGTTCGATTTCTGTGGCTCTGGAAATATGATTTTATTTATACCCCACGAATTTGCTAAGTATACTATATACTCATCTTTTTATTTTCAACTAGTAAAATATTGATACATACATTGTCACGTCATTTAGTAAATTTAGTGACCTTAACATCTCAACAGAATCCTCTTCGAATCCTTTTAGTGGGATCTTGAAAATTCGTAAATCGTATTTGTTCATCGTAAATTATGATATTAATTTTAATTTTAAATAAAAATATTTAAAATAATTTATAACTTCATGATGTACGATAAACAGATACGATTCATGAATCTTTGAAATTTTCACAAAGAGGATCCAACAAGGATCTGGATTCCTTAACATCGTTTCCTAAATAAATAACCTATAACTAATGGTCTGGTTTAAACTATTTTTATGAGTTTTAAATTCACTAAAAGCACTTTTAAACAATTAAAAACATTTTTTTCATCTAGAGGAAATACTTGAAAATGTTTTTGAGTAAAAAAGGTACATTTTAAGATAATCAAGGAAAAAAATAGCTATGATATAAGCACTTTTCCGTAGAAACACTTATAATCAAAAGTAATTCCTACAAGCTATTTAAAAATCATAGTAAGTGGTTAAGTGGTAAGGGCACAAATTGTGACTCCTCAATAAACAAAAAAAGGTTAAAGGTTTCATATTCGATACTCAAAGCTAGTAAATCTGCTCGACTATGACCATCAACATGGTTAAATTTCTTATAACCTCTTCGGTCCGGAAGAGATGAACAACCTAACTTACCATTAGGGGTGGAAAAAATTCCTGAAAATCCCAAACCGAACCGAAAAAATCCCGATCCCAAACCACCGAAATTCCCGAAATTTTCGGGATGCTATCCCAAACCAATCCCGAAATTTAGGTACGGGATTCGAGATTGGCTTCTCGATATTTTGGAAATCCCATACCAAACTGAAAATATATATTATTAATTATTATATATGTATATTTATACATATATATTATATATGTTATTCTTTTATAATTGATGCTAGTAGTTTCTAATTCATGCTCTACAACCTGGAATGCCCTACAACTTGCATATTTTTCATGTTCTATTTGATATTCATTTGGATTTTATTATTGCTGCTGTCATGGCTGATGATTTCAGAAGGCTTGATTCTTTTGTCTCTCAACAGATTGCCAAAAAGGTTTAATTAATTTAAATTTTGACTCTGATAAAAACAGTCAGACATGCCAGTGTTCGATTAAATGGTAGTGTGAATGAAATGACATTTCTAGTTCATGAATGTGTTCTTGAATAAATCATAATTTCACATTTTAATTTGGGATTCCCGATTTGTCCCGAAATCCTGAAAATATTTCGGGATTCCCAAAATTTGGGATTCCCGAAAATTTGGTTTGGGATTGGTATTCAAATTCCCGTCCCGAAAACTTTCGGTTTGAGATTCAGGATACTAGTTTCAGTTCGATATCTCATATCGAACCACCCCTACTTACCATCAATTGTCCCTCTTCTTATAAGAAGAAGAAGAAGCAGCCCTTGCCTCAAACATACAAATCATAGATAAGAAGACAGAGCGACGGCTCATGCATTATCAACAAATATGCCCAAATTAGGAAAATGGGCTGTTTATGCTCTACAGGCCTTTATGCAAAGAGATTTTCATTTTTTTCAAAAAATTGGAACTAAGCGTGAGGTTCACTTCATATCAAATTTTAACGATCCAAATTTTCTATGTTGTAAGTCTCGATTCATAGATCATTCTTGCAAAAATTCAATTCAATCTGAAACCATTTGCATATTTAATTATCAAGATAAAATTTCATTATTTCTTATATAACAAAATATTTGTTAATTTCTTTGAACCCAATTAGATGTCTTAAATATTTCCGAACTGACTAATATTTTGTAAGGATGATCTATGAGGTGCAACTTAAAAAATAGACGGTTCCCATTGTTAAAGTTCGATGTAGTGTGGATCTCACAACTAATCCTCATTTTTATAAATAAATAAATATATAAATAAAAAGGAATCTCTTATCTTAAAGATTTCCTTATGCTCTATTAGAAATACTAGGCGCAAATTTAAAAGAGATGGCGCGTTGAAAATAAGAAATTGAAAAGAGACAGAAACAAAGTGATTTAATTTTCTACGCTACATTTTTGTCTTTCCACACACCTCGTTTATTTTTGCTTTTAGATTGAAGAAATGAAAGAGGAATCAATAGACGTAAATAAACATAATTGTGTAGGAAATGAAAGGACAAGGCGGAAATCATTTTAAATTACAAAAAGTCTAACACAAGCCTGAAAATAAACAAATCGATTCGAAACTCAAGCAAAATATTACAAGAAGAGCCAAAAATCAAAGCTTTAAAGATTCCTAATAAGATTGTCATACGAAGACATTGTCAAACTTCCGATGAATACATAGCGGTGGAAGAAGAAGAAGGTTTTGATAAAACCTTCGAAATCACTAATGGCAGCCAAGCAGTTTTCGAAGAGAAAATTTAGTCAATGTCTGCTCATAACCTTAAAAATACAAATTGCGTCTAATTTCTTCAAACGAGACAATGCAAGATATAAAACAATGAAAAATACTTAGATGCTAAGTTATATGCATTTATGAGTCCACTTTTGGAGGCTTCGTTGTGGCCTACGTGTAAAGAACTTCCATAAAAGTTTGTTCTGCAATTTTAATTCGTCTAAATTATGTGCATTTTTGTAGTAATTTCCTTATCGATGTGACGAAATGAGCAGAGGGTCTTCCATATGCTGCTATGTAATATGCATCTATGTATGTCACATATATGTACACGAATAATAAGATCGCACATGATATCAAACAGGTCGGATCAGTAAAATTTCTTCCCAATTTTTCATTTAATGAACGACATTATGCGCGAAAAGGATGAAAAATTTACAGATTCGAGAAGGAAACGGTACAAAAAGAGAAGATCTTTACAATTCTGCAGATAGTGAAGGAAGAATGTGCAACAACGGAAACTGCTTCGTTATCATTTTTTTGTTCCCTCGGTCGCAACCGAGTCTGCAGCAAGTACATCAGCATTCATTTGCATTATGGCATCGAATTTTTCAGACTTCCCCAGCACAATCTCGATCTGAAGTTTAAACGAAGAGAAAAAGCAGAAACGATATCAGATGCTGGGTGGAAACTTGGTATAAAATGTTTCATCAACTTAAAGACGCTCGACCAAAGAAACCAACCTTAGCCTTCTGCACGAGGCGACCCTTACTCTCGTCTTTCATTCCAACGGTAGATGTAGACACCTCTGTGCAATCCCACAAACAAAGATAGCCAAATCAACTACCTTTATAACATTTTTCAAGTTTTTTCGAGTTAAGAGTGCAGATTTCTTACTCTTCTCGATAGCCAAGCCGTTGTTCTTTAAAATCTCCGCAATAGTGATAACCGTGGTGATTGCTGTAATAACATAAGTGCAGGACATAATCACAGGCTTCACATCAAAGTTCACAGTAATACAAATTTCACTTGGCTGCCATAAATTTGTTTCAATGAAAATCCATAGTAACTAAAGGAACTCTCAATTTTCGCGCTTCAGTGGGCGGTCGAAGATTGGAAGCATAGTCAATAAGAAATTGTTTAGAGCTTCTGGTATTGGAGTTGCTACAGAATCATGAAATCTCCAGCCTACTTGCGTAACACCGCCATCCCTAATTTTCGGTTATGCTCATCTCTATTGCGTAAAAAGATTGAATTTGTCAAAGTAATCGTGTAGGTCTGGTAATTCAACTAGTTTTAGGCTAAGCATGCTGAGTTATATAAAGTGTTCTCCTTCTTCATGCTATTACTATTTCGGAAACTAAACAAGAACATAGATACTGAGAAATGATTCCGAAAAGATTTACCCATCCCAAGCGAAGAGAGCTCAACCTCGTTGTACTGCTCTATGTACCTCTGCGTCAAAGAAAAACAACGTAAACACGAAATGCAGTTCTTACCGAAATTCATCTAATTAGTATTCAAGAAAACAATATATGCTTGAAAAACTCTACACAATAAGACCACATAGATGTTCTCTTCACCAAGTATCAACAAAAATCATCCCTACAATTGAGCTTCCTTATTTTTGTACTAAATTTCAATTCCCTTTTCCAAATTTCCTGCATTTCCTCCACAAGCATAGAAAACACGAGAAACCACATGGCATTATCAATCTGCTCATATTACCAACAAGTGACGGTGTGAATTATCCGCTCATATTAGCAACAGATGAATAGACAATAAATGACGGTGTCATCATCTTACTAAAAATTACTCAAAAAACACGAAAAGCATTTCAATGTGATTATCATACAGCCACGTGTTATTACCAACCTCTCCTATTTGACGTGTGAACATCATACTCAAAAAAAATCTAAGAAAAAGACAATCATACCCCGAAAGACAATTAATCTCTCGGTGTTACTACAAAATTTAACATACTTTTCTTATGATCTCAGAAAATTAAGCTAATCAGATGCATGTAATTACATTGCAAAACTGAACGAACGAGCAAGAAGATAAAAAGGAAAAACTAAATAAAAATATACCTTAGCGAGATTGACGTAGAAGAAGAGTGGTTTCTTGGTGTTGGAGACCTGAATTCTGTTCTTCTTCGGCGCCTCAACCGATTGCGGTGGTGGAGATGCGACTCTCTGCATTTGAACTGCCGCCATTTTTGCTCTGAAATTTTCTCTCTTTCGATCGGAAACGGCAAGACTCATGAATTTGATCGGGAACGTTAGCGAAGTGCGGTTATGGGAGGAAAATTTATAATGGCGGGAGTATTGGTGAGGGGGCCAATTGGAAGAGTACACGTGGTGGTGTGGGAGTGGGTGGCGGACGGAGTCAGTCTGTTTGGCAGTTAGGATCCGAAGGAGCAGAGGCGGTTATGCTGTAGTATGAGGTGGGCCTGGGCTTAGGACATTTTATCGTAATGGGCTTCTGTGTGGAGTTTAGCCCAAAAACAATGATGCTCACAATCAAAAGGTCCAATTGTCCTTCCATGGTTCCTTGGGAATTATTGTTCGTACTCAAAGTACTCATCATGCAACTTTTATTACACGAGAGTGCATGATGATTATTTTGAACTATTTTGGTGCGTTAATGATAGTTAAATATACAAGTTTGATGGATAATTTTTATTCTGGCTAGTTTTTATTTACTAGTTTCGAAATTCGAAGAAACAAAATTGAATGTAACTAAAAATATTCCAATACACATCTTAAATACCCGAAAACATTAGCTTTTCAAGCTTGAATTAACTAGAATGATCGACTTCATACTGTATGAATTCCAGCTGGTGGCTTCGTCATGACAGTCCACACTTCTAGGGGCCGGGAAGACTCACGTAGACATTTCATTCTCCCCATGCCACCATCATGTGATTCACCAACATCAGGAATCGAACCTATGAAGTGTCATGTAGAATACGGGTCTAGAATTCGTCCCCAACTATTGAGTCATCCCGTATATGATGGTTTCTTTAGATTTTCAATACGAGTTTTCATTTTCGACCTTTCAAATTGTTGGCATATTCAACATTTTGGTTGAAAGAGATGTTGAATATGCCAACAATTCGAAAAGAATGAAATTTCAAAGTTTCCAAAATTGGAATGAACGTAGAAAGTACGAAACTTTTTGGAATGGAATTGGAAGATTGGAATTGGAGCCTACACCAAATGATCATGGACAAACTTGATCCACTTTGTTCCCATGATTTAAAGGTAAAACAACCAAAACTCATCAAAAAAATAAAACAAGAAAATCGACAGAGGAACTGGAGTGGCCATGGCAAAGGATGAATTGACACAACGTTGGTGAAGCGCCGTGGTCCAAATTAGAGACTCCAAACACACAATATTTGTAGGAACAAAGAGAAGTTGTCCCAAATTTTGCTTTGTTTCCGTGGGACATATTAATATTTTTATAAGGGTTACTTACACGTGCACAAATAATTAAGTTATGATACCAAACAAAAATGTGACAACAATTTATTGTGATTGGTCAATTTCGATGTGGATTCGTGGAAAATGAAGGATTTTTCAATGTGTTAGGAACACGTCCTAGTACCCCGAATGTAATTATACAATTAGTTCAAAATTTGAAAAAAAAAATAGTTTCCAACCAATTGTATTATGACATTGTTGTATCGAGCCGTATTTCCAGCACATTGAAAATTTATCGTGGAGAATATATAGGGTTGTCTTGTGACGGCTACACAAAAATGTACTTATATATTAGTTTTCTAATTTTACTTCTATGGTATTACTAAGTAACTCGAAAAATCAATGGCTAAATCTTGTATTTGAAAATCTAAATTTTTTTTATAACGGTTGGATTTTACATAAAACTTGTACTACTAAATAGAACATAGCATTGTAGCCGGATTTCTAATTTTGATGCATGCATGCTTAACATTGTATAAGTGAGATGTATATGAAGCTTTCCTTGCTAGGGAAAGGGACTATGGATTGCAATTATGGTCCCCTATCTATGTATGAAATTTCAAAACTTGCCCAAGAAATTGTCAAAGGACCGACAATGTTGACGAAATGTTGGTTCATCATCTTCTAGGACAATCGATCCGAGGAAGACTTCTGAGAGAGATTAATTAAACATAATTGTGGTTAAACGTAGTTGTCCCACTTATTTGGTGGCTAAACATAATTGTCCCACGTAATTGGCGGTTAAGACCCTAATAAGATAGACAAAGCATGCAGTAGAATGGCCCGCGTTCAATATTTTCAATGATTTTCTCACTTTATTTTTCTGTCAAGGGATTTTATTCAAAGACGAAACAAAATGTTCACATTAGAAGTTAATACATTAAAAAGTTTAAGAAGAGATCTTGATTGAATTAATATTTATATGTTGATTAGTGTGCTTATTTTTTAGGAGAAACTTGATATAAGTCCAATTTTTTGAGCCAATAGTAGAAATAGTTCATTTTATTAAAATAAGTCTAATTCCTTAAATCTTATTATTTTATTATCAATAATTATCTCTTAAATGATAAGATTTCTTATAAGAATCAAATTTCTTCCTAATTATCTCTTTGATTATTTATTTATTTTTGTTCTTTCTTGTTCTTTATCCTGTTTTAAACCCCATTTACAGATTTTATTTTTTATTTTTATAATCAACCTATATCACAGGTTAATTATATTTATCTACCTATATTACAGATTCTTTTTTATAATCAAGTAAGATTCATGTGTCTTGCTTGTAGATATATTATGTTTTTTCTACCTTTTAGTTAAGTTTCATATCTTACTTATAGGTATGATATACATTCATATATTGGTTACTTGAGTTAGGGTAGAATGATTTGCAGATAGATTTATGTCAATATATTATTTTTTTTTGTTATAAGATATTAATTATATTTTTTGGGGTTGAAAATTCATAATATTAGAAGATTTTAATTGATTTTTAATATTTTTAGAAAATATAAAATGAGCATTAAAAAAATAAATACATTGGACTCACTCCTAAAAACCATCTATGTTTTTCGACCTAGATCTAAAAGCCCCTATTTTTTATTAGTAACACATCACATGATTTACAAATTTAGTCTAAAAAGTTGATCTAAAAGTGGGACCCTCTATGACTCTCTGATCTCTCATGTTTTTTGCACAATGAGTTATAATATTGACACAAGCATTGATATTAAACTATGAAGTGACAGAGAATCTACGAAGAATCTTATTTTAAGAAAGTAACATTAGCATTTCTTTTATTCTTTTGACAAATTAGCACCTGAAGTAGGAAAGTCTATCATTTTGCATTCACCACGGTTCGCATGTGCAGACTCTAAAAGTGAATCTAAAAGACGAATACTAACTCCCCGCTTAAAAATAGTAAACATGTTTTGTAGGTAAAAGAAACCACCTGATAAAGAACGTAAAGTCCATTTGCACATTAAGTAGGAAAGTCAAGCTAATTATGCCGCAATTAGGGGCCTTTTTTATTGGGTGTTAATCCCACAAAATTAACATGTAAGCATGAGAAATGGCCACCCCGAGAGAGAATCTTTGCCGAATTCTCTTTGTAAGAATCCTGAAGATTTTTTAATTACATCTGTTCATTGTACATTATGTGATCAGAAATTATTGTAACTTTTTTATTTAAAATTAAATATAAACAGTACTTGACAAAAACTGATCGCTCGATATACAATGAACATATGTGATTAGAACATTCTAGAGATTCTCACAAAGAGGATCCGGGAGAGCATTCTCTTTCTGGCCACCCCCACCCCACTGACAGTAAAGTGATCATATCCAAGGAAATTAGTTGAAGTTAAATAAGCTGGTTCGTTGAAGTTAATTAACTGGTTCCAACTGAACTAAGAAGCTCGGGACTACCGAAAAAAGTTAAAAGTGCAGACGGCAGCTAGATTGATAGATATAGTTATTGAATAGCAGTAGATCAAGGTTAGTAATTTCAGCTACCAAATAAAGACTATTTGTATTAAGCTGACCAAATAAACACGTCAGTTGATGAGATCCTGTTAATTCTCTTCCTAAGTACATATGGTAGCTATGTCCCATCGAGACAATTATCTTTTTTCAATTTCATATGTCCGCAAAATATATAGCTACTGATACTACGGTCCAATAGTATCTTTTTTAATATTAAAGTGTGAGGATCTCTTGAGTTCGATTTTCATGAATGACAAGTTTGATATCTAATTATGACTGCCTATATGTTGTGTGGCTAAACTCAAATAATATATTTCTCAAATATCGTTGTATCACGAAAACAACGTTTGTAAAATAGAAAAAAATATATAAGAAAGTAATCAAATTTATAAATGGCTTCGCATTCATTTCCATGAACTAGGTGCGGCACTGGCTTCTGGTATGAGGAGATTAGATATTAATGAAAGTATAGAGCCAAGAGGTCCTCGCCACCCCCTCCCTCCCAAAGCTATATATGAAACGAAGACTATACAGCACGTACCGTGGGACCGATTAACCCTTCTCATTCCTGTATGTGCTCATTAGTTTAATTAATTAGTAGTTAATCAATATTCTAATGTTCATTTCTGTACTGTACAGTTGATTTAATATTCTGCATTATCCCTGTGATCCTCTCTAGTACCTTACTAATCATTATTTAAATAATTGTGATCGGCATGTAATGTGCTTATAGTATAAAATTGCAGAGCATGCATGCATGTCCTCGCTAGCGGTTGAGAATACGATGATTTTGTGTTCTTGCAGCTTGCTTTTTTAATATTTACATATTCGAACTTTAAAATTGTAACCATGCAAAATGAGATTTAAGTGAGTATCTTTTTTCGTGTGAGAATTTGATCAATTCAGGTTGAAAATCTTAAATTTATATATTAAATGGTTGTATATATACAATACATCATATTATCACGTAGAATTGAAAAAGTAGATTAAAAAAGCGAATTCTAACGTTAATAATGACTCTATTAAAAATACATTTTCAAAAAAAAAAACGACGAGATAATTTTAATACCTAGATAAATTTAGCGTTTTAATGACGTTTAGTAGGTCAAATACTGCTTTTAATTAAAATAGAATGGCAGACAAATTCGAATGGAACAGATAAACAAATGAGCTTTTTGACTTTATCGAGCCTTTGAAAAGTGGGCAATTGAAAAAAAAGTGGGCAATTGAAAGGAACGCTCATTTGAACCATTTGAAATCAGCAGCCAGCAAATAAAGAAAGGAAAGCTCAATATATTTAAATCGTGTTACCCTCCCCAAAACCTAAACAGTACCAGCCTAACCTAAAATTCTATTTTAGATAGTCAAATTAAAAAAAATCTATTTCTAAAAAATGTTGTAAAAGA